GATAAAAGTCGAAACATAAATAGAAGAATCAAATAACAACAATAAAAACACTCGGTGGTCGAGTGGAGACGTGCACCTGCTGGCATGCTAGCAGACACGGATCGAATCTCAGGTACAGAAGGCATTTTTCTCAAATATAAAAATATCAGGTGAAATTTGGGTTGCATATATGAATTGCAACGAATATAAGAGAAATTGAAATAAAAGTGAAGGTAATATGAGAAGAAATAAGAAAGCAAGAGCAAGTGAAACGGAGAACAGGGATATAGAAGAAGCAGAGAATAGGAGAAGATAGAAGGAAGAGAACAGAGAGTAGAGTAGAGAAGAAAGAGAACAGGGGAGGATCAGATTTTTAAATTTTTTGGCACGTGTCGTTATAAGACAGCACTACTTCGATCTGTCCATTGCTCCCGGCCCATCCTACAGCTACGATGTCTCTGCGCTTCATCCCCGGAATTATCAGGCATATCAACAATTTTTATGGTGGGGGATCATCCCCATAGAGAGGGAACTCCTTATAAGGACAATCCTTATAAAGTCTTGTTCAAATATTTCTAAGTTTTAAGTCGTCTCAAGAGAGGCGACACTTAAAAATATTCTTACCTCTGACCTGTAGCAGAAATGAAAGAAGGAGTACACAAATCATACAGGTTACCTTAACAATTTTTATAGAGGGATCATCCCTGAGAGAGGGAACTCTCTTCTAGACCTGTTCCTGAAATGATAGAAGGAGTGCACAAATCAAAGAAGTCAATATATTTTACTATTTCTTTATTAACAATAGAATACAAGTTTAGATTTTACAAGCCAACAAAATACATGCCGTCATATTGACACAGAACTTTCAACCTGCATCGTCGCGTACATGTAAGCAAGTAGCACGTCAAAATGTTCTACCGGGATAAAGAAATTAGCAAATTGCCCATTTTCTAGGTGATGGAAAATGGAAACAATTATACAGGGTGTCACAAAAGAAAATTCATAGTGCAAGAAGTTAAATTCTAATAACAGTTAAACCAAAATTTTCAGGGATGTGCAGGAAAAGGATTATACAAGGTGTCACAATTAGAAAATTCAACCATCAAAGAGGAAAACATCAAACACTACAAATAGTGCTCGTGTTCACCCGATGCTCCGGGAACCTAATAAACAGGGTGTTACAAAAAAAAATAGAGTGCAAAAAGATAGCCCTAAAACCGCAGTTGAAGGAAAATTTTCACGGACACAAAGAAAAACGTTTAAAACAAAGAACACTCAAAACTCACAAATAAAAGCGATTTACTACGTACTGTTGCAAATGGAAGATTTTATAAACTACAAACTTGGTCAATATTCTCTTCATGACGAGAGAAATTTATACCGAAATCATCGGAAACGTTGAGGAAAAAAGGTGCTACAAGAATAAAACACTTACATTTTAATTTATTGTGAATATATTTGTCATTTGATGATAGCATCAACTATATAAGGTAACTGACGGGTGAAGTATCATCATAAATTGATAGAACATGAACAACGAGTACTGCGGCGCACACACACAACTTTTAATATAACTCGCGTTACGGAATTTTCTCGCAATAACTTTTAATTCTGGGAGAAACAAAATTAAATTCCCAATCTAGGAAAATCATTTCGAAATAAATGTAATGTTAAAATTAAATGTTTGTATGTTATACTAAAAACTACAATTCCTAGCGCAACGAGTACTACGGCGCACACCCAACTTTCAATATAACACGCGTTACGGAATTTTCTCGCAATAACTTTTAATTCTGGGAGAAACAAAATTAAATTCCCAATCTAGGAAAATCATTTCGAAATAAATGTAACACCGCGTTCGTGTGTTATACTAAAAAAACTACAATTCCTAGCGCAACGAGTACTACGGCGCACACACAACTTTCAATATAACACGCGTTACGGAATTTTCACGAAATAATTTTCTATACAGGAGATACAGAATTAAATTTGTCATATAGGAAAATTATTTCGAAATAAATGTAACACCGCGTTCGTGTTTTATACTAAAAACTACAATTCCTAGCGCAACGAGTACTACGGCGCACACACAACTTTCAATATAACACGCGTTACGGAATTTTCTCGCAATAAATTTCTATACAGGGAGATAACGAAATAAATTCCTCATCTAGTAAAATTATTTCGAAATAAATGTAACACCGCGTTCGTGTGTTATACTAAAAAAGACTGCAATTTCTGGCGCAACGAGTACTACGGCGCACACACACAACTTTCAATAAAGCCCGCGTTACGGAATTTTCACGAAATAATTTTCTATACAGGGAGATACAGAATTAAATTTGTCATATACGAAAACTATTTCGAAATAAATGTAACACCGCATTCGTGTGTTATACTAAAAAAACTACAATTCCTAGCGCAACGAGTACTGCGGCGCACGCACACAACTTTCAATACAACTTGCGTTACGGAATTTTCTCGCAATAACTTTCAACTCGGGGAGATACAGAATTAAGTTCAAAATCTAGGAAAATTATTTCTAAATAAATATAACACCGCGTTCGTGTTTTATACTAAAAACTACAATTCCTAGCGCAACGAGTACTACGGCGCACACATACAACTTTCAATATAACTCGCGTTACGGAATTTTTTCGCAATAAATTTCTATACAGGGAGATAAAGAATTAAATTCCCCATCTAGTGTAATTATGCTAAAATAAATGTAACACCGCGTTCGTGTGTTATACAAAAAACTACAATTCCTAGCGCAACGAGTACTACGGCGCACACACACAACTTTCAATGCAACTCGCGCTACGGAATTTTCTCGCAATAACTTTCAATACTGGGAGATACAGAATTAAATTCCCAATCTAGGAAAATTATTTCGAAATAAATGTAACACCGCGTTCGTGTTTTATACAGGAAAAACTACAGAATCCTAAATTCGAGTACATCTAGTGTAATTATTTCAAAATAACTCGCGTTACGGACCGCGTTCAATAAATTTCTATACAGGAAGATACAGAATTAAATTCCCCATCTAGTGTAATTATAATAAATTTAACACCGCGTTCGTGTTTTATACTAAAAACTACAATTCCTAGCGCAACGAGTACTACGGCGCACACACAAACTATCAATATAACACGCGTTACGGAATTTTCACGCAATAAATTGCTATACAGGGAGATACAGAATTAAATTCCCCATCTAGTGTAATTATGCTAAAATAAATGTAACACCGCGTTCGTGTGTTATACAAAAAACTACAATTCCTAGCGCAACGAGTACTACGGCGCACACACACAACTTTCAATAAAGCCCGCGTTACGGAATTTTCCCGCAATAACTTTCAATTCTGGGAGATGCAGAATTAAATTCCCAATCTAGGAAAATTATTTCGAAATAAATATAACACCGCATTCGTGTGTTATACTAAAAAAACTACAATTCCTAGCGCAACGAGTACTACGGCGCACACACAACTATCAATATAACACGCGTTACGGAATTTTCACGCAATAAATTGCTATACAGGGAGATACAGAATTAAAATCCCCATCTAACAGTATTATTTTGAAATAAATGTAACACCGCGTTCGTGTTTTATACTAAAAAACTACAATTCCTAGCGCAACGAGTACTACGGCGCACACACAACTATCAATATAACATGCGTTACGGAATTTTCACGCAATAAATTGCTATACAGGAGATACAGAATTAAATTCCCCATCTAACAGTATTATTTTGAAATAAATGTAACACCGCGTTCGTGTGTTATATTAAGAAAACTAAAATTCCTAGCGAACGAGTGCTACGGCGCACACACACAACTCTCAATATAACTCACGTTACGGAATTTTCTCGCAATAAATTGCTATACAGGAGATACAAAATTAAATTCCCCATCTCGTAGTATTATTTCGAAATAAATGTGACACCGCGTTCATGTGTTATATTAAGAAAACTAAAATTCCTAGCGAAACGAGTGCTACGGCGCACACACACAACTTTTAATATAACTTACGTTACGGAATTTTCTCGCAATAAACTTCTATACAGGGAAATAAAGAATTAAATTCCGCATCTGCGAAAATTAATCCGAACTTAGTTTAAGACCACGTTCGCGTGTTATAGTAAAAACAAACTACAATTCCTAGCGCAATGAGTACTATTGCGTATATGCGTATACACACCACTATCATTATAACTCGCGTTACGGAATTTTCTCGCAATAAATTTCGATACGGGGAAATAAAGAATTAAATTCCGCATCTGGGAAAATCAATCCGAACTTATTGTAAGACCGGGTTCGCGTGTTATAATAAAAAAACTACAATTCCTAGCGCAACGAGTACTATTGCGTATGCAAACAACTATCATTATAACTCACGTTACGGAATTTTCTCGCCATCAATATCAACACAGGGAGATACAGAATTCAATTCTGCATCTGAAAAATTATTTCGAATTGTGACACCACGTTCACGTGTTATACTAAAAAATACAATTTCTAGCGTAACGAGCGCTACGGCGCACACACACAGAAACTAAACGCGATAGAAAGGTACGGATTGAATATTCTTAATTCTCTATAAGATAAACGAATTAAATTGAAAATCTAATAAAGAAAAAAATAATTTTAAAAGGGTAGCGGTAGAAGTGACTCCCATTCAGGGCACCGTACGAGGCTAGCGGTAAAAGTGACTCGTGTTCAGGGCACCGTAGGGAGTAACGGTAGAAGTGATTCCCATTGATGAGAAAATAATTAAAATACGGAGTGTAAAGGTTCTGAAATTGTGTATAAAAGTGCAAAAAAGCAATTTTTTTCATTTTTGGAGAGTTTTCTCCGATTGTGAATAACTAAAAGAGATACAGAGGAGCGGATTGAAACGCGACTGTCTTGTGTCTTTGCAATACGCGGTGGAACGCAAAAAAAACTACGTAAATAAAAACTTACGTACGACGCAGGAATTAAAATGAAAAATATAATTGAATTATAAACTTACCAATGCAGATCCAAGGCACGGCATATACTGTAAATAAGAAAAGAAAACATTATATTAATGTAATATTATATTCAAACAGCAGAGAAAAATAAACATCTATGCTGTTTACGTAAAAGTTACTTATTACCTGCAATCAAAACTAAAATATGATGCAGCAATGCGATAAGAAAGTGTGAATTGTGTTCAAACAAACACAATTCTCGTGTCGAATGCTCACGCTTGCCGATAAATATAGAAATAAACAATATGATATATATGAATATTTTACGATTTTTGGGCCATCTATGAATGATACAGTAGTTTCAAAATTTAGATTATTAAAAAGTAATGAAAAATTAAAATTCGATTACTGTAATTCTGTTTTCTTATGCTGACAGAGTGCCAGATTTTATATAAAATACTTTAGTGATATCTGTTTCAGTGATCTGCTGATAATAAAAATGTTTTGCATTATTGATGATTATTATAATAAACTATTAAAATTAATATAAAACTGTTAGTTATATTCATGAAAGAATTGAAGAATATTTGCTTAAATTTACGATGCTAAAATACCAAACACCACGAAATAAAGATTCGATACCTGCAGGTAAAGAAACTTATCTCTTACGCGAAATCGCGTGATCGCACACGGACACGATGTGCACTCACTACCACCGACAAGCAATATTTAACGCGAAAACGTGCATCGTACTGCCATCTAACCGACTATCTAGTAATGGCAGGTTTAAATTTAAAACACATTTTATCAAATATGCAACAAAGTTGATATTGCATGAAAATGCCAGTCATAAGCAATTTAATAATGTCTATCAGATTGCAATATTTCTTTAATATATATTCTATATCACAACATAATAATATTATATTCACCCACACAAACATTCGGTGCGGAGTATCGAAATGGTGAGATAAAAGTTACTTACTCAAGCACGAAGGGACCTGCTAAGAACGGGGAACAACATGGCAATCACTTAATGTCGATTAATTTCGCGATGGTCGATTAATGACCGAATATAATGCAAATGTAGCAAATAGAAGTCCGATAAAACAATACGCGTCGCGCGAAATGCGTCTGGATACGCCAGCGCAAGGCTCGAAACTGGCTGCAAACTATCGATAGCATATGCCGAAGCCGTGCCAGTAACGCCGCGAGAGTTTATGATAACAAAGCAAGAAACGCGCAAAGCCGGTGATCTTGTGCGCGAATTACATTTGGCACTTTGCGACCTAAACTATACTACAATGTACTGCATGCGATTCTAATTTCTCTCGATTTCCTCAAAAACTAAACGCGATAGAAAGAAACAGATTGAAATTTTTCAAACTACGAAAAATTTTCTATAAAATAGAAACGTGGTTAAGTGTGCTAAAAAGGACATTTTTCAATTCTTGACGATTTTCTTCAATCACAAATATCTCGTAAACTAAAAGAGATAAAAAGGAACAAATCACAGAGACTTTTCTACGGACTATTCTCTATTAGATAGGCTAGTTAAAACGGAAAGCGAAGAGATGAAATTTTAATTCTTAAGAAAAAATAACCAAGGATCGACGATTTTTGATAATTAATATCTCGTAAACTAAAAGCTATAGCAACCAACGAATTACTGATTATGAAAGATTATAAAATTCTCTATCAGATAAAAATATAAAATAATTCTATTTGCTACAACAACAGGTCGAAAAACGCGGCTGAAAGTGCTAAAAAGTGACAATTTGCAATTTTTGACGATTTTTTTCAATCGCGAATATCTCGTAAACTAAAAGAGATAAATAAGATCTGATCGCAGTGTTTTAATCTACGAATTATTCTCTATAAGCTGGAACAGTTAAAACGGAAATCTGAGAGATGAAATTTTCCTTCTTAAGAAAAAATTGCCAAGGGGGGGTGCTTGATACTTTTTTTCGACGATTTTTGATAATTAATATCTCGTAAACTAAAAGCTATAGCAACCAACGAATTACTGATTATGAAAGATTATAAAATTCTCTATCAGATAAAAATATAAAATAATTATATTTGTAAGAGTAAAAGGTCAAAAAACGCGGCTGAAAGTGCTAAAAAGTGACAATTTGCAATTTTTGACGATTTTTTTCAATCGCGAATATCTCGTAAACTAAAAGAGATAAATAATAATTTTTAATCTACGAACTATTCTCTACAAGATAAGCTAGTTAAAACGGAAATTTGAGAGAAAAATTTTAATTCTTAAGAAAAATTTTTGACGATTTTTTTCAATCGCGAATATCTCGTAAACTAAAAGAGATAAATAAGATCTGATCGCAGCGTTTTAATCTACGAACTATACTCTATAAGATAAGCTAGTTAAAACGGAAATCTGAGAGATGAAATTTTCATTCTTAAGAAAAAATTGCCAAGGGGGGGTGCTTGATACTTTTTTTCGACGATTTTTGATAATTAATATCTCTTAAACTAAAAGCAATAGCAACCAACGAATTACTGATTATGAAAGATTATAAAATTCTCTATCAGATAAAAATATAAAATAATTATATTTGTAAGAGTAAAAGGTCAAAAAACGCGGCTGAAAGTGCTAAAAAGTGACATTTTTCAATTTTTGACGATTTTTTTCAATCGCGAATATCTCGTAAACTAAAAGAGAAAGATAGGCTAGTTAAAACGGAAATCTGAGAGATGAAATTTTCATTCTTAAGAAAAAATTGCCAAGGGGGGGTGCTTGATACTTTTTTTCGACGATTTTTGATAATTAATATCTCTTAAACTAAAAGCAATAGCAACCAACGAATCACTGATTATGAAAGATTGAAAAATTCTCTATCAGATAAAAATATAAAATAATTGTATTTGTAAGAGTAAAAGGTCAAAAAACGCGGCTGAAAGTGCTAAAAAGTGACATTTTTCAATTTTTGACGATTTTTTTCAATCGCGAATATCTCGTAAACTAAAAGAGATAAATAAGATCTGATCGCAGCGTTTTAATCTACGAACTATACTCTATAAGATAAGCTAGTTAAAACGGAAATCTGAGAGATGAAATTTTCATTCTTAAGAAAAAATTGCCAAGGGGGGGTGCTTGATACTTTTTTTCGACGATTTTTGATAATTAATATCTCGCAAACTAAAAGCTATAGCAACCAACGAATTACTGATTATGAAAGATTATAAAATTCTCTATCAGATAAAAATATAAAATAATTATATTTGTAAGAGTAAAAGGTCAAAAAACGCGGCTGAAAGTGCTAAAAAGTGACATTTTGCAATTTTTGACGATTTTTTTCAATCGCGAATATCTCGTAAACTAAAAGAGATAAATAAGATCTGATCGCAGCGTTTTAATCTACGAACTATACCCTATAAGATAAGCTTGTTAAAACGGAAATCTGAGAGATGAAATTTTCATTCTTAAGAAAAAATTGCCAAGGGGGGGTGCTTGATACTTTTTTTCGACGATTTTTGATAATTAATATCTCGCAAACTAAAAGCTATAGCAACCAACGAATTACTGATTATGAAAGATTATAAAATTCTCTATCAGATAAAAATATAAAATAATTATATTTGTAAGAGTAAAAGGTCAAAAAACGCGGCTGAAAGTGCTAAAAAGTGACATTTTGCAATTTTTGACGATTTTTTTCAATCGCGAATATCTCGTAAACTAAAAGAGATAAATAAGATCTGATCGCAGCGTTTTAATCTACGAACTATACTCTATAAGATAAGCTAGTTAAAACGGAAATCAGAGAGATGAAATTTTCATTCTTAAGAAAAAATTGCCAAGGGGGTGCTTGATACTTTTTTTCGACAATTTTGATAATTAATATCTCTTAAAGTAAAAGCTATAGCAACCAACGAATTACTGATTATGAAAGATTATAAAATTCTCTATCAAATAAAAATATAAAATAATTATATTTGTAAGAGTAAAAGATCAAAAAACGCGGCTGAAAGTGCTAAAAAGTGACATTTTGCAATTTTCGACGATTTTTTTCAATCGCGAATATCTCGTAAACTAAAAGAGATAAATAAGATCTGATCGCAGCGTTTTAATCTACGAACTCTTCTCTATAAGATAGAACAGTTAAAACGGAAATCTGAGAGATGAAATTTTCATTCTTAAGAAAAAATTGCCAAGGGGGGGGTGCTTGATACTTTTTTTCGACGATTTTTGATAATTAATATCTCGCAAACTAAAAGCTATAGCAACCAACGAATTACTGATTATGAAAGATTATAAAATTCTCTATCAAATAAAAATATAAAATTATATTTCCTAGAGTAAAAGGTCAAAAACGCGACTGAAAGTGCTAAAAAGTGACATTTTGCAATTTTCGACGATTTTTTTCAATCGCGAATATCTCGTAAACTAAAAGAGATAAATAAGATCTGATCGCAGCGTTTTAATCTACGAACTCTTCTCTATAAGATAGAACAGTTAAAACGGAAATCTGAGAGATGAAATTTTCATTCTTAAGAAAAAATTGCCAAGGGGGGGTGCTTGATACTTTTTTTCGACGATTTTTGATAATTAATATCTCTTAAAGTAAAAGCTATAGCAACCAACGAATTACTGATTATGAAAGATTATAAAATTCTCTATCAAATAAAAATATAAAATTATATTTCTTAGAGTAAAAGGTCAAAAAACGCGACTGAAAGTGCTGAAAAGTGACAATTTTCTATTTTTGTCAATTTTTTTCAATCGCGAATAACTCGTAAACTAAAAGAGATAAATAAGATCTGATCGCAGCGTCTTAATCTACGGACTATTCTCTACAGGATAGGATCATACAAAAATTAGACAAAAGTATAAAATAATTTAATTTAATGGGGTAAAAGGTCGCTAATCGCGACTGAAAGTGCTCAAAATTGCAATTTTCCAATGTCCCGAAGCGTTCCCGAGATATAGCTCATTTTCCACCGCAACTTTTAAAAGATGCAAAAATGTGCAAATTAAATTAGATTGTTAAGGGGAAGTGTGGGAAAGGGTGCCATTATTTATTCTCTTTTAAATTTGGAGGCGACCGACGAAACTAATCAAATTCGCATTCTAAATTGGTCACGACTAGACAATCGGAACTCAATAGTAACAAAAAGTCTTAAAAGTGACTCGTATTCAAGGCACCGTAGGAGGGTGACAGTAGAAGTGACTCGTAGTCAGGACAACGTACAAAGGAAGCTGTAGATTGTTAAACTGTCGGTGCCACGCGATAAAAAAACTACATAAATACAAACAAATGTACGACGCAGAAATTATAACGAAAAATAGCATTGAATTATAAACTTACCAATGCAGAACTCTTTGAACTCCAAGGCACTGCAAATACTGTAAATAAAAAAGAAATATATTAGTTAAAACAAAAATATTTTATACGATTTAGTAATATTATATTCACACAGCGGGGAAAAACAAACCATCTGTGCTGTTTAGTTAAAAGTTACTTACCCCAGCACGTTGGGTAATTCTAATGATGAATAAATCAACATGAGGTGATATTTATTCGATTCACCTGGCAACTCGACACCTTGTGACTTGCAATATACACCTTCAGCGCGATCAAAAACAGGCCGGACAATAAACGCGCAAATAGTAAATCGCACTACTATAGTAGTTACAATTAAATAGTCGATTGATGATCGAATTTAATGTGAATATGGAAAGTAGAAGACCAAACAAACAAAATACGAGTCGCGAGAAATAAGTCTGGACCAACCAGAGACCGGCACGAAACTGGCTGCAAACTGTGCAAGCAACGACGCGACAGTTTATGATAAGAAAGCAGTAGATGCGCAAAGCCAGTGCGTCGATCGCACGCGACCTTGTGCACGAATTTCATATGGCGCGTTACCTGCGATCAAAACTAAACTAAGATGCGCCAACATGCGGCGTGCAGGGATGGCAACGGACGGCACTCGTGAATCTCATGCGTTGCATTCCACGCGGCGGAAGCGATAAGAAAGCAAATTGTGTTCAAAACAAACACCAATCTCGTGCTGAATGTCCACGTTTGCCGATAAATATAGAAATAAACAATTCAATTCTATTTTATGATTTTTAGTTCATGCTAGCGACATCCGAGTTGTGTAATTCAGATTTCTTATGCCAAAAGATTGCCTGATTTTACATCAATTATTTTAGTGATATTTAATTTAATAGAACAAGACGGATTGAAGGTTCTTAAAGCGGAAAAGTATTTGCTCATTTGCTCAAATGGCGAGAACATTTTATAACAACATCCGCAATAAAAAGTTTCAATTTTCATATTTAATTTTTCGCCGGTAAATATGAATCACCTTTGGTCAAATTATGGGGAAACTATAATTATAGCAATGACAATATTTACCAGGTCCGTGTTCCGAGATTGATGAAAAATACTTTGCACAAGTTAATTTATTATTGGCGTTCACAAACAATCACCGGCCGGTGTCCGACGGAACCCACTCACAGATTGTTTGTGAATCAGTACGACTACACTAAACACACTAAACTCACAAAACTACACTAAACTCGCAAAATTTACATTTACGAAGATTATAAAGCGATTATGGACAATAATCGCGCAAAGAGTAAATAACATTACTATAGTTGCAAGTAAAAATTAAATAGTCGACTGCTGATCGAATATAATGCAAATTTAGAAAACAGAAGACCGAACAAACAATACGAGTCGCGAGAAATATTCAGATTGCTTTATATTCAGAGAAAATACGGTACATTTTTTACACATAGGTTTTCCGAATTAATTGAATAACTGACCCGTGTGGTTTGAAAGTGGCCTAACTCCATTTATAGTTACATCAAGGTATTTACTATTGATAATGTCGGAAAGCAGCGATGAAGGTAATTTCAATTAATTAGTATCTACAAGTCCACCTCATTTTTGGGACAATTGCGTTAGTTAATTAACCTGTACGTTTAATTAATATAAAACTTAAAATTTACTATCAAATTATAGAAATTATTGCACCCATGAGGAAGAACCGAAGAAGACCACTTAGTTCAGATAGTGAAAAAGATATAGTAATTAATACCTAATTAAAAAAAAAGCGAATAAGAAAAAGAGTTATAAAACAATATTCCTCGTCAGAGGATGAAGATTCAAATAACAGTGGAGAAAAGATTGATGCACCATATATCCAAAAAGTGCGAAAGATAAAACGGAATTCAGGAAAAGATATTGCAGTGTCTGGATTTACCAGAGACCGACACGAAACTAGCTGCAAACAGTGCAAGCAACGACGCGATAGTTTATGATAAGAAAGCAAGAGGTGCGCAAAGCCGACGCGTCGATAGCCCGAGATCTTGTGCGCGTTGGCTGCGATCAAAACTAAACTAAGATGCGCCAACATGCGGCGTGCGGGGAAGGCAACGGACGACACTCGTGAATCTCATGCGTTGCATTCCAAGCGGCGCAAGCGATAAGAAAGTAAATAGTGTTCAAAACAAACACAATTCTCTTGCCGAATGCCCACGTTTGCCGATAAATAGAGAAATAAACAATACAATTCTATTTTATGATTTTTAGTTCATGCTACCGCCATCTCTGAATGCTACAACTAAGAGTCCCGGAATTTAAATTATTAAAATTAATAAAACATAGCGTAATTTTACATTAACTATTAAAGTGGTGTTTTCTTAACATTCAATATGCGTAGCTAATATATCTTTACTTTATTTATAGTAAGTTACTCCTATTCATATAATTTTACAATAATTAAATTTGCAATATTTAATTACAATAATTACGAAAACGAAAAATATACTCATATAAGTGTGTTCATGATAATATAGATATACTGGTACTTAATATACTCAACTACAGCTAACACTGAATTTAATTTACTGCATACTATCGAGGTGCACTCGCATACCTATATTTTAAACAATTTCTAAACAATTAAACATTATTTGAGCATGTTTGGAAAATGAAAACTTTTAAAAGACGTTACATAGATTATTCTACAGATAAGAACTGGGGCACGTTCATATTTCTAATATTTTAAGGACACTTAGCTTCAAATTCCACAATTGCTGTCCACCCCAAAAATGATAACATGTTGTGTCATTGTTTACATTGTTTACAAGATAATTACATCGCATTATTAAAGCATTACATAATATTATAACAATTGTGCATAATATTGTCGAATGATAAATAAATACCAACCCGTTATTTATAAATTTTACTTCGTGTTCTTACTCAACTGTGACAATCATCTTAAGATGATTGTTCGTTTTAATTATTGCATTCTTCATGTATAGTTTAACAATATTAACATATGTAATAACATTAATAACTTTAAGTTTTACGTTTACTCATTCATATAGCTTAATTTCATGCATTTTAATGCATGTTTTAATTAATTTTATTATTCTCCGTGTGCGTGTCGCAATATTTAACCGTCAACCAAATCTGGAAATGCGTCTGGACATCCTACAAGTTTATTTCAATCATACAAACGTTTAAAAAATCAACTGACTCTTTCGATAAATATCTACACGTGATAAAAACCGCGCTCGAACAAGTGTCACCTGTCGCCACAGTGCGCTATTACCGCCGCCCCCGGTGCTGAATACTATTTCATGCGGTTGAGCACGTAGTCGGCTGCCACTACTAATCCCTTCTGATAGGGACTCTCAGCGATGAGGTTCGCAAGGCGTGCAGCCTCCTGGCAGTGCTGTTTGGCTAAAAATTGTGTTTGCTCCAGGCCGCGCGACTTGTGCACCAGCTCAAACGCCTTTTCAACATCGCCGGGTTCTTGGAAACGTCGCATTATCATAGGGTTTAATTCAGGATACTGAAATGTAAAATAAAAAATTTTTAAGTAAAAATATTAAAATTAAAATTTGGTTTTGAAAGTTACCTTCTCACAAGCAAATAGAACCGGGGCGGTAGCCAAACCGAGTTTTAAATCCGCAGCTGTCGGTTTGCCCATTGCGGCTGATGATGATACAAAATCAAGCAAATCGTCAACAAGTTGAAAAGCGAGTCCTAAATTCCTGCCGTATTGATAGGCGACTTCGGCGAGCTCTTCATCAGCTCCGGCAAGCATTGTCACCTAAAATATTCACAAATAAATCAATAAAACTATTTTCTGGAGCAAAAAATAAAATTTTCTTACCGATTTGACTGAATTTGCTATCAATGATGCGGTCTTGCGATAAGTTTTGGTGAGGTAGTGTGCGAATCGTTCGTTCTCCGTTTCCTTTGATCCCAACTGCATGAATTCGCCTTGGACTAGGTCAGTAATTACCTAAACAAACATTAAACCACATAAAAACCTCAACATGCGTGCGTTTTCTTTGTTTTTCTCTACGTTTGCTCAATCGCATCAAAATTTTTATCGAAAAAACATGGTCCATAAAGCAGTTTTACGACAGGCGCGCTCCACAGGTTGCCCAACTGTGGTGTGTGCGAATAATGCACACACTTGTAAATAAATTACAACCGCTGACAATTAAGCGATGCTCTTACGTGACGCAGAAGCACGCGCACGAGTGAAAAATACGAGTTCATCGAGCTGCAACACAACAGGCAAAACTGTTCGATTAGCTGCATTAGTCTCGTGCGAAAACGCAATTGTAGCGGCGCGACAACTTACCTGGCTAAGTACTAGAGTTACATCATCGTTTCTTAATTTGGCTATCATCATTGAGGCAACCGCTAATATAAAGTCGCCTGCCATCGTGACCTATAAAGAAAAAAAAACGCATATAAGTAAAAGGAACCATATCATATTTGAAAAAAAACTGAAAAAGCAAACAATTTACAGCGGCAAATTTTTCGACCATGTAATAACATGTGATAATGTCAATATTGGTGGATTTCTTAAGCGGCACAATTTTCTATTTGCATCCGTATCGATTTTATAACTTTTCGACGGGCGCGCGTTTCGAATTATTAACACATCGTGACGCAAGCATAAATTACGCGCGCGGGCCAAACTCATACAAACACACACATACGATCATCGTATGCAAATTAAGATTTCGATTCTCTGCATGTGTGTACTTAATCGTTTTGTTTCGGCTCTAGGCGTTGTAATAATTTATAAATTTCAACTTTCAGTCCAATATCCCGCGATGGTCCGCATTCACTCAATTGTCTTGTGGATCCACAGCGATGATGCAAAGGCCATATGTCAAGGGAAAGTTTCCCTCCGGTGAGAAAAATTCAAGACCCGACTTGACCAAACAGACACACACAAACACGCAGACGCGTATAATCAAGCTGCTCAAGAGCAGATGTAGAGAATCTGGTGCGGAATGAATATATTTCTGGTTTCGGGTTTCTGAAAACACAGCCGAGATGAGGATGAGTTGAAGTTTAGTCAATTCGTAATCAGTTTCGGCACGACAACGAAATAACTTTCTTTTTTCCGCGTAATCGCTGTTTATGGACGCTGTAAATGAGTAGGTGCAAGATGGGTTGTATTAAATATTAGCTAAATGTTTAAGCGATCATTCAATATTGACTAGTGTACAAGAAAAAGTTTTTAAATCAACGTATTTCTTAGTGTTTTGTGAAGAAAATGTTAGGTTAAGTCAAGTTAGGTTAAGTACAACAAGCGCCCTCTATATGTTTAAATTGCGCATATCTCAGCATACATCTCACCTACAGTAGGTTGAATTTGTCATCGATCATAATTAAATTAACACCTGTTATGCGCAGATAGCAAAAGTGAAATACCGGGACGTGCTCGCGCTCACGCGAACACACATTAACGCAGTGAAAGTGATCGCACGATCGAAGATCAAAAACTGCGTATCGTAAAGAACCTGCTCCTCGAAAGCGACGCGCAAATCGTCTTCTTACTCGTATTTGCGCCAACAAACCAACTTGATATCCAAACATTTAAACTAAACATTCCCCTCGGTTTTCGATTTGATTCAAACAAAAGCAGCGTTAACTAAGAAATGAATTTTCATTCTACACAAATAAATCCACGTCGACCACACGAATATAAAATACAAGACACACAAACAAGATGCTTGTCTGACCGGGCACGTCGGTAAAAAGAAAAGATCGCGTTATATAACACAGGCCAGGCAGGTTGTGTCTGTCGGCATCGGCTGGAATTGCCTTTGGGCGCTTCATCGAACAAACTACAATATGCAAGACACAACAACCGGAGAGGAGAGAAAGTGTTTACAAAATCTCCAGCGCCGCCGTCTGCACGCTCACCGCAGAATCCGATCAAGTCTGGTCTCCAATTCGGATTATTAAGATAATTCAGATAATACTCATGCGACGATGGGAACATCTCAACATTTCAGTTAATATTCAACTTAAAATTCAAACAAATAGGACAAAAAGTCAAAGTCAATGTCATGCCGTAATTATATCAATTTCGCGCATTGCTATCATACTAAACAGACATGACCTAATGAAGTCGACTCAATTAAATGCAATTTAATCCAATCTGCGATTGATAACTATAATGAATACGTACTTTCCTGCGCACCGCAACACGCAAACCGCATTAGAAACTAATAAGATATCACTAAATTCCATTGCAATTTCGACGCATGTGAATGAAATCATTTCACGCACGCACGCGACCACATCACATTAATTTTCAACTGGAAAAAGTTACGCACAACATGCGTCGCGCTTAACAATTAGTTATAGTACATGCGCGCATGCGCATCAATTATTCATTGGGCGTTGTTTACACGACGCGTCGCAATAATAAACTAATAAGTGCGTCTCAACTTTCTAACAAAGTTTAAGTTGAAGTAAAATGTCAAACCTTTTTGTGATTCCACATCACATTGACACTGGGCTTGCCTCGGCGGAAATCCGATTGATCGATGACGTCGTCGTGGACTAGAGAGGCGGTGTGGATCATTTCCGAAATCATTGCCACTTCCCTTTGTGAAGTAAGCAGACCACTGCAATGCATAAAATTTTCAACGGTCATTAAATGAATTAAAAATAAAATAAAACCATCCACACAAAAATTCCAGCGAAAGATAGCCCGGTAATTTGATTTGGTTACGAGATAATCAATGACGAATGCGCCGCCAGCTAATAGAATCATGTGTAATTTAAAGAACAAGTCTCATCCGAGCATGAATATCTACATTCGTAGATAAACTTGCATCGAAGCTGAAGACCGAAGACAGATTCTCTTCGCTTGCTGGTCGAGGGTAACGGGTTCAATGACGAAAGAGCAATTACTACACACGCATAATATCCAAGAGGCGCGGTGTGTTCGTACGTGCTTCTCAAGTTTTTTTTTAACATCTACTTGATGGTGATGAAACAAATTCTTCGACTTCCCAAAAATTCCGAATGCAGAGGATGTTAGTATAGAGTAAGGAGAACGTCTCAAGTTGTACATAAATTATTTATATCGCTTACACGGATGTTGGATGTGTCGTATTACGACATTAAACATTTCACTAAATTAAAAGATATTAATATCTATCTCGTGGTTAAAATTGAAAAAAGAAATGGATGTGAATTTAGTCACGATTTTAAATGTTAGTGGGTATTGGATATACAAGTATCGAGTTGCAATCACGTTTTGTTGGATGTGTAATGTTGGATCGTGTGCAATGAAATTTACTACTCACCTATTTTCTTTGTACATGTGATAATTGATCGCTCTGGCGACGAGGATCGCCACCATCGGTCGTATAGCTTTGCCCTGTCCATCGAAGTAATACGTCGCTATTTCGTGCAGTTCTTCCTGATAGGTATTCCTACGTAATGCCTAAGAACATATAAAGAAAAATTTAAGAAAAAAAACTGGTAAAAGGAATAAAAAATAAAAAAATGAGCGAAAACATGATTGAGTCATGTGTCAATTATAAACAGAGAAGAGTTCTGCATTATTACTAATTTCGTTTTTTTTTTCTCAGTGTAATCTGCATATTTCGACTTTAGTTACTTTTATTATTCGAATTTTTTTCTACAGTTTTTCCACGATTTTGAGACACAAAAAGTGATAATTTAATCACGGACGGCTAAAGCCGTGACTAAAGTAGTTTAATTACGGTCTTTAGTCACAGGGTGGAGCTTGCGCATGCGCATTTGGAAGTAAAGAAATTAGCGTAAGATGAACGTTGTTACAAAAACTTTAGCATATCTTGTCAAATTAACACTTTTAACAATCGGAAACTTTATAAGATTTAATTTATTTTCGCGATGTTTTGTTTAATATTTTATTTGTGTTGTTATTCTCTGTTTTGTAGGAATAACACAGAAATACTATTATGTTATTATCAGTTCGCAAATATCTATAATAAATCATAAACTATGCAAAAAACCTAATTGAATAATTATAGAAATACAATTGCAAAATAATCTTAATACACGTATCGATAAATAACTTCACGAATAACTTCACTTGGTTCCCCACGAGAAGAGCAATCCGAGTAGGTTAGCAATAAATCACGCTAATAAATAAATTCAACACGCCAATCAGGGTCAAATCTAAGTGCGCGCGTAATATATCTCGCAGCGCGTAATAATAACCCGAAGAAAAATGAAAATCCCAACGCACCACACGCTGTGACCGCGTTTCGTCAAAGCTCATATGCTCAAACAGAATCAAGTGCGTATGTCACAACATCTCACATACACACACACCTAATAAACATGTTTGCAGTGCAAGTGAACGAACTCACCGCCACGATCCAATTAACCGCCAAGCGCTTACTTGCACCTTGTACAGATTGTATTTTTTTATTTTTATAAATGCATGCGTATAGATTAAATACACGGTCTAATCGAAAGTAATCGATTGCAGCGTGCGATCTCGCAAAGAGCGACTTCAAGAGCGGCGGTACCGCGCGCGAGCCTTGAAACACCGCCGAGAATGTGCGCGTATTGCGCCACCGAGTGCTAAACCGATGCAAAATTACCGATAATTATCGAGTTATTGGGCCAATGGCTTTGGCATACATGCTTTACACGTGTTAAGTTCACTGCAACACGATTTTTATTTTCAGAAAGAAAAATTAAACTTTAAGGTTAGGTCTTTAATTGTGAGGTTAGGATTATATAGCTATGCATTTAATTTAATTTATATTACCTGTCTAATATATCCGTACACATCCTTAAGATCGTCATCCAGCAACAAGTAAGGATCCACCTGATACTCGGGCATCGATCCGGGCTGTTGCGTTCGCATCGTGGCGAAGTTCCTTCGCGTCGCGGTCGTGAGCACTTCCGGACGATTGCACGGATGTAGACATGAGGACGACGCTGTCATGGCGGCCGACACCAAACACTGAAAATACAAATCGTGAACTTTAGAACTTTTGACCTAAACATTTATTCGAAATATCAAATTTCTAAAACGTTTAAATCACCAAAAATATAAAAAATAAATAAAAACACTTCCTTTGCTTTAAAATTCAATTGTTCACATTACATTGTCAAAAAATAATTAGATAATCTCGCTGAATTTACAAGTTTTACACATTCAACTAGAATGCTTGAACAATGTGTAATTACACGCATGCGTAGCTAGTGTGAATGCAGTCATCTTCCTTTCTTTGATTGCAGCAAAATTTTTGCGAAATTTAAACAATAAGCACTTAAATTTTTTGTTGTTAGAGCCGCAAGTGTTACACTTTGATATTTTTAACACTTTCGACGTGAAAATACATAAATCCTTATTAAATAATTACATAATTAAATTTAAACAAAAAAAAAGAAAAAACTAAATTTATCGTAAAAAATTCTAATTTTAGCCGTAAGTTTAAATTAAAATCACATTTTGTGTCATAAAAATGTAAATTTTAAAATGAAATAAAAACTTCATGGAGTCATAACTAAAACATGACACTTACCACCATATAACTCTCTTGCAGCGTTAATTACGTGTCGGTTATTACTACTATTAGACAACCCAAACAGATGTTTATTCATTTCGCTACAAATGAAAGTAAAATGTGTGCATTCACGTTTTTATTTCTATTTCTTTTTATTTTTTAGGTTAGTTATAATAACCTGCAGTAACATCTCAAGGTGTAATCACAAATTACTATTTATCTATCCATCAATTAATTAATTATATTATTTTTAATTAATCTTTTGTTTCTTATATTTCTTCTATTATGATAAATACAAGAAAAAAATGGAATTACAACGTATTTGTGCAATAATTAGCCGAACGCGATTAATGAGCAAGAGTTGCAGTCGCTAATTAATGATCATGTGCTTAGCTACGCAACACAGATTCCATTAATACGATGAATCTGATACGTCCCATGCTGCATCTTTAATTATATCGCAAATATTGCAGCACGCCGCGTAATTGACATCAATATGCATCGAAAATTAATTAATACATAATCGTTGACTTGTGGGTGTGCAGTTGGTAATTTAATTGAAATTGCATACGAAATGGTAAAATTTGAAGGTTTTCTTGCACAATTGCATTCGACATTCATGTCGAATGTAAAAATCAAATTATTTCTAGAAGCGAAAAAAGTAGCGCCGAAAAATGTTGCAAGAATTATGTTTCTATCAAATTTGTGGCTGATGATTGTTGTTATTAGATTGTTTGATGCAACACATATGATTATATAGTGTTTTTTGTTGATTATATAGATTATTTGTGGTTTTATTAGTGTTATTATTGTTGTATTATTGTGAGATTATACAAGTGTGTAAAATAGCACATCATTTTGTAACTTTTTGAATATGTAGGTTACAAAATCCTAACTAATACATATTACCAATGCGTATGTGAGTATATTTGTTTGTTTGTTACTCTTTCACGCAAAAATTATTGAATCAATTTTGATGAAACTGAAAAATTTTAGAGCTTATTCATCAAAATAGAAAATAGGCTACTTTTTATGGCAAAAATAAAACATAAAAGGTGTTAAACTATGAATAAAAGAAATTTATCACCTCTACTTCTATATTTTTTGAGCAGTAGATTCCTGTTAATATACAAGAAAAATTGTTTGATTTTGTGTTATATTTTATACTAATGAATAGAATAATTGCAAAAATTACAATAAAATCATTATTTTATAAATTATTTAAAAAAAATTGGAAGAAATTTTGTTTTTTGTTAAAGAAAAGCAAGTAAATTACTTCTTCTATTGTAAATTACTAAAGCACCTGTTTTTCCACGATTTTAAGGCACAAAAAGTGGTACTTTAAACACGGACGACCAAGGTCGTGACTAAAGTACTTTATTGTATAATGTTAATATTTTTTGTGCCTCAAAACCATAGAAAAACTGACTCTTTAAAAGCGGAAGTAGAAAAACTGTATTATTAGTATTTTTCATTCCTTTAAATTAAAATTTAGAATCTTTTTGACAAAGTCAACGCAAAAAAAGAATCAAGAAACAAGAAAGTAATTAATTCGGCTACTATGGAATAAAATCTATCCTGAGGAAATCGCAAGCTCCTTTTTCTTATTTTTTTATTATTACAGTTGAAAACACTTAATCTCAGTTAATACCGGATGTTACTAAACCCTGACGTCACAATTTAAAGAGCTGCACCTATTGTTGTAAAATATTTAAATAACACGTTGTTTTCAATTTTTATGTTTACCGAACGTTTTACGATTTGTTTTTATTGATGCAAGCGCTCGATGTCCTTTGCGTTTTCACGCTAATTGTGCGTTAATTATACACGCACTTACTACCTTCACGCTCATCTCGCATGTCAAGACGCTGCTGTTGTTGTTGTTGTATCGAATTGTTCGGATTTGCATCGAGTAATTGCAAAATCACAACTGAAGGATGCTCATTAAACGCCACCGCAGTATAAACCATTTCAGCATGAAATCCTGAACGTAATTATAATGCTTAACATAACAACGCATCAAATAAGTATCTACATGTTAATAAATAAATAAATCTCGGCGTGTAAGCAAATTAAAATCGTTTGTTGATTTCACCTAGGATTATATGACTTTTACGATGTATTGTGCGCATAAAGTAGGAAAATTATGGATTAATATCCATACGTCGAGGAATTTACAAAGAAAACTTTCTGATCAGGTTTGATCCTGACCTATTCACACATAAATTATGACAAATTAATATTTACTTTATAAAACGATTTGTTTTAAAAATAATTATGTTATTCTCGATGCATTTATCGAAGAAAACAAGATAAAAATTGGATAGTTTTAGCCATGACCTGCATTACATGCCAAAAACTAGTTAAGTTGGATTTGATTGACTTAAGTAATGAATTCATGCGCGAAGCTGTCATTAATCGATTTGTGGCGCTGCGTGCAATTTGTCCTTGTATTCAGATAATTTGGCAATTTCACAAATAATCTTTGAAATTAGTGAGAAAAAGCGGTAGATTTTATTTCTTTTGTCTTTAGAAATTATTTGTTTATTGTCCAATAAACACTATTAAACAACTTAATTTATGTTAATTCATGTGTAAGTAAATATCTAAGTAGGTAAAAAGTTTATAGAGAGGTTTTCGTACGAATTTTTGGTGTGTCTTGAATTGTTTGGAATTAATTTAAATATATTTCACCGATGAAACGGGCAGGAATGTGAAATTTCACTAAATCAACACAGCCAATACGTAATTTATTGCTTTTTCGACCGTATTTAGCGTTTTACATTCATTTCGTCAATTTGGAAAAACGTGTTTAAGACTTCCTAAATTTTTAGGAGTACGAACAGTTATATTACGATAACTCAAAAACTTATCAACTTATCATAATGATTTTTTTACAAAATTATTTAGCATTAAATTTTGCATTTATTAAAATGGAAATTTATTAATTTCTGTGATCTAATAACAAATTATCAAAATTTTAAAAAAATGATGAAATTTTTATAGGTTTAACTTTAATTGTTAATAACTTTTATCTCAATAGACTTATTAACAAAATTTTTGTTTTGTGAAATAAAGAATTTAATTAAGAATAAGTACTGAAAATTTTATAGTTGTACAAATAAGTTTTGAGTAACTAATTATCCGTTTTTAAAAAAATTGTGAAATTTTTGTAGGTTTAACTTTAATTGTTAATAACTTTTATCTCAATAGACTGGTTAACAAAATGTTTGTTTAGTGAAATAAGGAATTTAAATAAGAATAATTACTGTAAATTTTATAGTTGTACAAATAAGTTTAGAGTAATTAATTCTCAACTAAGCTTTTAAAATTATCACGCGCGTACTACTCAAAGAAAAATCCTACTTAATGCTTAGCAATAACTGAACCGATATTGAAAATTGATGTGCATTGCGTAAAAGTGGCGTATGAGGAAATGCGTCGCAGCCACCCAATTGGCTTGCGTCGTTGGTATTCACAAAAGCAGGAAAATGCCCGTTTATCGAGCGGCGCGGACGGCCTACAAACCTGCTCGAAATTCTTCCACACGATTGCGCAACGCTATCAACAGGTATGGCTTAAAACTCAGCTTAAGCGGACTCAATGAAAAGGCGGAATTGAAACCAAGCCGATTTACAATCGAATCATTCGATACAACGCGCGTTAAATTAAGTTGGTGATAATTAAACAACATGTGGTGGAATACGCAAACACTTTCCTTATTTAACTTAAGTCACTATTGATAAAATTGATAATATTGATAATATTATACAAATATTTATATAAAAAATATATCAACGTGCAAATTTAAAGATTTAAAAGATTTTGTATCATCGGCGAAAATTTTGACACATTTAAAACATGATTTTCGATCAAATAGTTTCAAGGAGAAAGTATCTACATTATGGAAGCAAATATGGAAGCATAAATATTAATATTTATAAAGTGACACAAGCCCAACACAAACGTAACACGTGAATAATTTTGTAGGCAATAGAAAATGTCGAATGGAAACTATATAGGTACTATAATGTAAGTAAGAAGTCAATAATTTGTTTACAACCGATACAGTACAATAGTGATTGAAATCTATATCAATAAATATTTAAATCGATGAATTGTCCTGACAATCATGTGAAATGAAGTACCAACTAGTCAGTAGGAATTGAGTCGTATTAGTCATCGGATATTAACATGATATATTTGCTAATAAAATTTGAATAATTGATGTTGGATGAAAGATGAATGAAAATAAAATAGGTATGGAGTTGAATACAGGTAGAAGTAATGGATATTATTTAATTAATCAGAAAGTATAAAAGGTAGATGTGTAGTTTTTGCAGAAATAAATTCTTGATTAAATTCTATACCAAGTGTTTCAATTTTTTTCTTTTTAAATTAATGAAAATTTGTTGGTTTTGACGTTTTTACGCAAAAACCATTAAACTTTAAC